CTGGTATCTGCAACGACTTCTTTCACCTTTAATTTAGATTTCATTTGGCTTTTTTCCATGGAAGGACATTTGTTGTCCAGAATGATTCACAGTCTGCTAAGGACTAATGCAATTTCCTAAAGGTCTGAGGATTTCTTACTCCTTGAAATCAGTTGCACATTCCCTGGGAGGATTTTCCAAAAATTGATTGATGTAGATGAGATAGGAGAGAGTGCCCTCCAGCAACTGTTCTCAGCTTTGGTCTCACTGCTCCCCTAGGAACGACCAGCAGTTTGACCTGATGTCCATGCCAGCACTCGAGGAAATACTGGGAGCTTTTGAAAATCCCACCTGAAATACATAGGTGGAAATGCCCCCACCTTAGCAGGTGAGTACATCAGATGACCTAATCTCTAGACTTCAACCCTAATTTTGATGGCAGCAGGACAGCTACTTGACTTAGTTGTGTTGCTCCTGATCTGCTCTGGTACCAGAACGCAGAAAGCCTCATGCAAAAACACAGGAAAATGTAATAAATTAGAGGACTAGACTTCAACCCTAATTTTGATGGCAGCAGGACAGCTACTTGACTTAGTTGTGTTGCTCCTGATCTGGTACCAGAACTCAGAAAGCCTGGTGCAAAAACACAGGAAAATGTAACAAATGAGAGGACTATTCCAATAAGGGAATAAGAAATAAACATTTTCATTTCAAAAAGACCCAAAGAGGCTACATGAAAAAAAAAAAAAACAAAACAGTAATATGTCTTTGATTTTTTTTTCTATCCCTTTTTTTTTTAGGACAAGGGCACTCATCTCTGGCAGGATCTCCTTGGAAACCCTGGTTGTCGAAAGCCATTCCCTCCCCACCAGACACCACACGTGTACACTGGCAAGTTCATCGTGTGGGCCTCTGCCTCATTTTTCCCTCTATTCCATTTTCAGCCTTTTTGCATAGCCAGATGGAAACACCTTTTCCCTGTGAGGGTGTCAAAGCTGACCCTCTGTGACCAGGAGGGCCCCAAGCGAGTCTAATAGCCCCGTGGGTCTGATATGCTTGAAATCTTTCCAGCCAAAACCAATCAGTGCCTGCTCTGGGCCAGCAGCAGAGCTGGTGCCTCCCTATAACCTGTCCCCTGGCTCTGGGTGTGCCCATCACCCCGGTGAGAGCTCACCTATAACCAGCTTCCCTCTTCCAGCCATGACCAACCTCCCCATCGAGAGCATCCATGGGGTGCTGGCAATGAGGCTTCAGGAAAACATATTTGGGGAAATTCGCAGCCCGTGCCTCAGTTTCCCCACCTGCCCCTTCTCTGGCCTCATCAATTTAAAGTCTGTATAGTAGAAACATCCTCATGGTGACTAAAATAATGGTCTCTTATCTCAATGAATACTCAAAGAGGTTTAAGTATAATGAAGTTGCAGTACAAAATTGCTGAGATTTTGGGGGCATTCCCCCAAACTAGCAGTTACTCCCTTGCCCCCCCAGAGGCAGCTCTTCTTCTTGGACAACTGTTCCCAGCAGCGGTGAGCAAGCCCTTGCCTACGGGCCAGATTGCATTCCAAAACTGAGCTGCCAAAGATCTTAAGCCTCAGCCTGGATCTCAGCCTTGTTTACTCTCACTGCTGCAGCAGCCGAGCTTCGTGCAGCCTTCGTGCAGCTTGGTGGGGAGCATGAGTTAGACATTAGTTCTGCCTGCCTGCAAGTGTCCCTGGGGATTACCGTGTCCTCCTGTAGTTAGGCTGAATATTAGGTACACTTCTTCTGTGCTAAAATTCATGAGAGGCTTCCAAGGTTGGACCATTTGCCCACGCCTATACCAATTCTTTGATTTTAAGCTCCACTGTGAGTCAGGAGCTGGGTTTTTCATACACCCTGGCTCAGCATAAAGGGGTTAGTTGAAGTCTCAAGCACTTGATCCTTGTACTCGGGCAATGTTCTTGCAGTGCATGCATGCTGTCAGCCCTGGGGTTGCTAGAATTTATATTCTACTAACATGCCTACAGTGCTAGGCACACGCTCTGCAGAGCCACAGTGGTGGGCTTTTCCAGACAGGCTGACCTGCAGCTGCAAGATGAAGTTAAAGATCAGACACTCAGGCGCTTACCTCTCAGCCAGCGAGCTCAGGCTCTCCACCCTGATTTGCTCCAAAGTTCCCAGGAAGAATTGCACTGGGAACTGCAGCTCTTAAAGGTCCAGGCTACCTTTACTGCCTGGCAGCGACAGCGTTACTCTCCAGCAGAACAGGAAAAGAGGAGGGAGAGGTTCTTGTTTTATGATATTTTATATTCTGATGGGTTTATCGGTTTATTTGTATTGGCATATGTGTAGAAAGCCCTGTCATGCAATTCATTGTGTTAGGTACTGTACAGAAAATGACCCAGTCTTCAAATTGCTTACAATATTGAGTAGATTTTAACCTCCCACATTATTGATGGAGAGCTGAAGCCCTCCAGGAATGCAAAGGAGAAATACAGTACGGGTATCACAAGCTACTTTTTTAAGTGGGCATAGCCCTGTCCTCAACCCCACAGGTCTCCCAGGTGCTTCAGTTTCTAAGGCAACTTGGTAGTTGCACCCACACTGAGGCAGCAAAGCAACAGTGCAAACCTAGATACAGATCTTACACCGCTGACACTCGCGTGGCCTTGATCCCTGCAGGAAACAATTTCGGATAGATAGTAATCCAAGCCAAGAAGTCATTGATGGGGGTGGCAACTGTTGAATTAGTCACACCATGCTGAGCTATTCTTTGTGGATGGTACCGGACCTCAAAGCAACAAAGTCAGATTTGCCAAGATAATTATTTAGCTGTCTAAACTCCCGTGGGTTCAGAGAGAAGCCCTGCCTTTTGGCAGCGAGGAAGCTGCTCCCAGAGCGCTGCACTCCCTGGGCCTGATACGCCTTTAAGGATTTGCCTCCAGAGTTAGTGATAAGGAAAAAGCAAACTAGTACAATCTGAGCTGAAGAGCCTCTTTTTTTCCCCCTTCCAACAGAGAGCTTCATTCGATTGCTCAGCAATAAAATTTGCTTCAGTGGGCGTGCTGAGCAGGAGGGCCAGAAGCGCTAAGATGTGCCGCGAAGCGGGCAGCGGCCCGAGCAGTGCCCGGGGCACACGCTCCAGGAGATGAGGCAGCTGAAATTAAAGCCTTTTTTCCCATTACTGTTTGCCCTTCACAGGCTGAATCTCAGGGGCAAAAGACATAATGCTCTGCTCCTTCCCCTCAGCCTATGAAACAGCCTAACGCACAAGAAACACTCAAACATGGGCAGAGGAACACATGCAGCTGTTTCTGCTGTTTCCCATGTCTGTTCCCAAAATGATGGAGCTTCTTAGCTCTGCATCAACCTTCTCCTGTCCCAGACCTCTGCAAGACCTGATTTTACCTCCATCCTGATGCTCTGTCCCAGCTGGCAGGCTGCTCACAGAGAAATCCACTGAGTTTAGCTCCATTAAATCTTCCACTAAAGTGGGAATCGAAGAAGGATACAGCTTGCAGGCAAGCCAGATCCTGGGACAGATTCTTCTGACCATCTGTGTTGCAAGCTGCTGGTCCATACTGTAAGAAGCCTCTTTTATTTCTTCATTCCACTACAGGGTCAGACATTAAACTTTCATTTCCCTGTAGGAAGGGGGAGTCTCATGCACTATAAGGAACTATTGCACACATGCAGCCAAGCACAGAGATGTGTTTGATTCCAGGAAGAACTCACTGTGTCTCCTGAAATACATATTGAAAGTGAAGAATAGCAGCAGCTTATAGTAACTATAAATTACTGGTTATAGAAAGCTGCACATATTGCACAACAACAACAACAAAACAGGGTCAGCAAGTATCTCTAAAAGCCTTAGCTGCAAAATATTAGCACATGCAAACAATCAGGACAACTGCACTGATTAATGAAATTTTTTACTTTGGGACTACATGCTGTAATTTGGAGGAAAAAAAAATACAGTTGGATACTTCCACTTCACAATTCTTGATTTTTTTATTTAATGGCAATTCACTTATATAATTTACTTAATTATAAGTGCATAGTTGTAATGCTTCCATGATTTGTACATAAAGGAACATCAAGCAGCATCTCAAAGGGCAAAGCGATTACATTTGAGTAATTTCTCATACTAAAAATCTTAGCCTTTAGGTATCTGATTAAGATTCATCATCGTTTCTCCTTATATCAATATAATTAGTATCACTGCAAACACATCCTCAGTAGAACAGATATGTTTCAGAAAAAAATAATCTTGCGCATGTGTTTTGAGTTCAGCCGCGATGATTAATGTGCAATAATAATCAGAGAAGAGTAGCACTCTGACAAGAGGAGCATGGGAGATGCTTTCAGTTCAAAGAAATACTGCTGTTTGGTTATGTCAGTGAACAGGAGTTGTGTAAAATCTGAAACAAGACAGAATTCTCCACTAATATTTCTCACCATCAATTTTAGGCCGTCAATAAGTATTCGCACAGCGTGGCACAGGCGTGGGACTGCCCAACTGCCACCTGAGAGGGTGTGGTAAGTGCAAAAGCAAAAAAAGGACAGGCTTATGGCTTACTGTAGGAAGTCAGCACTGGATGTCTTTGTTTTTCTGGGTATTAAAGTCAAAAAATAATATGATGTTCATTTAAGAGGTGGGTAGGATTTTCCCCAGGTGGCAGCTCAAAGTAATAAAGAAAGAGTCATACACAGCTCCGTGGCTCTGCCCCGCTACTCTGGGTGTATTTGGAAAAGCTTTTAAGAGATGAAAGGAGTAGGGAATGGGCAGAGTCTGCTTCCAGCTAAGCACAAACTGAAGGGGAGTGATTCGATTGAGCTAGGAAAAAATTATTTGTACCCAAACCAAAAAGAGATGCAGGAGCAGTTGTGAAAATCAATTTCTTTTCCAGATTCATGCTGATATGTTCTGCCTTACGCTGCTGTAGATGGAAAGAGAAAGCTTAACCTTTAGATGGTTGTCAGAAACAGGGGGAAGGATTGCATGTAATGCCACTGGATTGAATTATAATTCAGACAGTGAGTTAAAACAGAGACAACCTGCTTGTGTTAATGGGTACAAATTTCTTGTCTAGTGTTATATTGAATTTCTCTTTCAGTGTTTTCTCCATTTCTTCATCTGCAAGGATTCTGATTTCCACCAGATCCATATTATCCTTATAATTGTACTTTATCTCAGTGAGTTTCCAGCCCACCAGAGCCCAGACACCGTCAGTGGTCTGCAGGCTGCACATAGACTTGGTGACAAACAGCGAGTCTGGTGCTGTCTGCAGCTGGGTGTTGCTGGCTCTGAACTCCTCGATGTCTCGTGGCTGAAGGGTAAAGAGATAAACCCGACGGCAAACTTCTTCTTCCACGTTATGGGAAGTGGAGACACTTTTGTTGAGAACCCACTGCTTCCTTTTCACCTTCTCGAGGTACCAGATCCCACTCTCCTCCAGGAATCGAAAGATCCCAGGAGTCTGCAGCTGATCTCTCCCTGAAATCAACTCCAATGGCTGCCACAACTGGTAGACCATCCCAAACCCACCGTCCACAATGTAGGATTTGTTATCAAGCACCACTTTTAGCAGCAGATGATCGATCTCATCTGCGTAGGCATCGTACTCTGGGACATAAACTTTTGATCCCAGAAAGGTGACATCATAGCCAAGGGTTTTCAGGACCCAAGATAAAAGATGGTTGTTTTCCATGCACCAGCCCCCACGTTTCTTCCTCACTATCTTGTTGTAAGTAGCTTCCAGGTCCAGCTCAATGCTTTCCCCACAGTGGATGCTGAGGTTTTCAAAAGGGACTGCTCGGATGTGGTGCTGGAATATATCCGTCAAGGTAGCCAGGTCCGCCTTATCATAAGAGCCCTGGTAAGAAATTCTGCTGAAATACTCCTTGATGTCCATTCTGCCTCTGAGAGAAGGGTGGAAACAAATAATAGGTTGTGTCTGAAGTGATGGAAGGCTCTTCCCCTTCCCTTAAAATGGGGTACTCATCAGTATGGGCAGCCTGCTCAGAAGAGGAGCAGGATTTGACTAATGGCTCTATCAAAGGCAGTGAGTGTGAGGATTAGTGCTGAGGGAAGCCAGTGGGACACTGCTGATGAGCACAAATGATATTTTTAATTGTTTCGTTTACAGCTGTGACGAGAAGCTCCAGCTGTGCTAAGCACATTTCAGGAGAAAGTTCCTGCCCAGCAAAGCTACAAATCTCTGTAGGAAGGAACAAAAGCAGCAGCAGCACTGTTTCCCTGCTGGAAATTATAGGAACTGAGACTCTCCAGATCGGAATTGCTTTACTTGTAATTTGACTCAGCAAAGCAGAAGTGGAAAACAAACCCACCCACTCTTGCAGAGCAATCCAGAGCCTCCTCTGCAACCAAATCTGAAAGCAATCTGCCTGCCCTGGTAGTTCCTTCGGTATTTCGGCAGCCTGGCATGAGCTGGTCTCACCTGCTCCTGCTCTCTGTGCTGGGGGTAGCAGATGTGATCTGGAGTGCAGAAGGGTTTGGCTTGGGTTTTTTTTAAGGGCGGGAAAGGCCATGGGAGGTTTTTTTTTCCTGCATCTGCTCTAAGTCCCCTCTGCACAGCATGGCTTAGCTCCTTAGCTCTGCTAGTCACAGCCCTACATCAGCAGCAGGAGGAAACCACGGTTTGGGCCAAAACTACAAATTTCATGGTGCCTCTCATTTTCTGACATCCTTTTTGGGATGCATTTGCTCCTTTGACTCACAGTCTCCCCAGTGGTGGGTGGCTGCCCAGGGGTGCAGGACCAGGCATCCCCCTTCCCAGCACGGCAGAAGGGCTCACTGGGAAGCTGTGTTCATGAACACGGGGGTGGAAAGCATCTCGAGCCCTCCCAGCTCTTGATGGCAAGGAAGGGATTTTGATGCGATGAAGTACTTTTGTTATTCCTTCCCAGATGCCACTAAATTTCAGACATCTCTGAGTACAGAGTGATGTTCAGATCATTGACCCGAGAGGTCCCAAAACGTATTAAGTTCTTGTATACGATTCTTAAAGTAAAATTATAAGTCCAACTGTTCCAACAGAACTGAATTCTCAATCTGATCAAAAATGGCACATGCCCAACTCCATGGGAATTTTGGAAATATATTTATATATTTATTTTTGTTTATATAAACAAAGCAATGAAATGAAACATTTCCATTCAGCGTAATACCCTGGCAAAAGCAGTGGGTGCACCAGTTTGGCTACCCACGTTTCCTAACCTTAAGGCTACAGGTGTTATAGAAATCTGTACCTATTGCATCATGACCACTGCCCCATCTCCAACATCCAACATGTAGGCCTGCATGATCCACCATCAGGTTAAGAACATCAGATGATTATTCAGAGGATCCTCTCTGTGCAGCTTTCGGCTCATCCCCAAGCTTTTCCAAAAGCCCCAGAACTACAACTCTATTAATTTTTGAAAGCTTGGCAGAAACTTAGTTCTTGCTGTGTGAACTTTAAACCAGCATCAGCAGCAATGAGCTGTCCTTCCCTTTCTTCCCCCTTCCTTTCACTTTGCCACAGCAGGTAAAACATGTACAGTGAAGGAAAACATTGGTGTGGGGTTTGTCTGTCTGCCTGTCCACCTCTCGCAGGTGTTTGTAAGGCTCCTTCAGCTGTGGTAGCTGAAGGGAGATGGCACAACTGCCCGACCTGCTTGAGGCTGATAACTGAGCCAATAAACCAGCGTGTCTCCTAGAACGAGGGGCTGAGCGGTCCCTGCTCTGCCATTGCACCATCTTCTGCTGTGTTTTGTCTTCAAACAGAGTTAACTTCCTGGTTTGGGGAGAGCCCAGCTACCAAGATTCAGAGTTTAAAAAAAACAGGCTTACCTGGAAAAATCAGTTCAACCACCAGTGTATCTCCGGGGTTGGAGGGGGTGGGTTTAGGCTAAAGCAAGTGGCGTGGCTCTCCTCTACCTACAGCGCAGACAGGGCTGGGGCACTGTTCTCCAGCTCCTCTTCAGGGGAATGTCTTTTCCCTCAACTTGCTTTCACCCGCCTCTGACAGATTGCAAAAGCTGGGAAAAAAAAAACCCAGAAGGGTGGAGCACGAGAGCTGTAATGAGCAAGCAAAAACAACAGCACTGACTCAAACCACAAGCAAAACCTGGGTGTTATTGGAGCAGCATTTTCAATGAAAAGGGTATTTTTTTTGTTTCAGTAGCCAGCTGAATGCACTCAGGTTAAATATATTAAATAAATATATGAACATATATTTTACAGAGGTATATAAAATTTTTTATTTCTTTTTTTTCCACCAGGTATGAGGTTACTCTTTGTTTGGCAACATGGGGAAGAAATCTTGCATGCATTTAATCTGAGAAGGGTTTTGCCCTGTTTCTGACAAACAGCAAGATTTTGGCACAGTCATTTGCATCTGCAGCCCCCTAGCCCCAGTCAGCACACACCAGAACTTCAGCACTGCCTTTGCCTCATTTCCTCTCTATGATCTACATGCATTTTTTCTTACAGTAAATGTCATAGATGTAAGCACTTGGAGAGCAGTGTGTCTGCTTTGGTCTTTGCCCATAAGCAGCACCTGAGGATGTCATGGTGGTGAAGATGCTATTGGCAAAGTGATGACTATGGAGTCATCACACACAAGGAGCTCCATCCTTTCAGGGTGTTTCCTACTGCTTTTGCATCTACAAATTTTGCTTGCATTTTGCCAAACTCTTATGAATTGTCTCATATATACAGCTGGATTCCTTCCTGTTAGTTCCCTGAGATTACTTCCAGTCCTTCACATCTAGTATCAATGGGAAGTTTTATTCAAACACTGATTTATTGCAATAATTAGCAGATATAATAAATCAAGCCAAAAAGAGATATCTGTGGTAACCCATTGCACAGCTCCACTTCCATATGAAAATTTGGCACTTTATCATCCTGTCAGTGACTGGTGTTTGACCCCACAAGCAAGAACCAATGCCCCAGCCAAGAGGTGCTGAAAGAAATGGACTACCTGCCCTTGCTGGGTTCTTCTGGGCAGATCCAATTTGGTATAAAGAGAAAGTTCATATTCCTGGGTGTATCTTGCTGTAGGTGGAAGAATCCCCTCCCTTCCTGCAGCCTGAGCACCTCGTTTTCACAAACTGAAGCCAAAAGCTGAGCAGGCAGACCCCTTGTCCTGGTGGGAACTGTACCAGAAAGAAGCCCATGGACCCGTTGCTGTGCCATGTGCAAGCAGACATGGCTGGGCTCCTTGCACAGAGCCATTTGGGACCACCAGTGATGCCATAAGTGGACACTAGCTGTGCTCCCTTGGGCAAAGGTATGAAGTGGCTGGGGATCTGTTCCAGCTAACTTTGGGGTCCCGTTAAGACACAAGTGTTTTCTAACCAAGCAGGAGCAAACCCCATTTCTCCCAGTACTCACCTTTTCTCAACTCTTCTCCCTATTAGGTAGCTCTGATATTGAGCATTTACTACCCATGTCTTTCAATCCTTATCCCAACTCACTATCTTGTGCTGTCATTCCTGCATCACTTTCCTTTTTCTTCCCATCCTGTACATTTTGCTCCTTGAGCCATTAAAACCCTGAGCTCTCATTCTCCCCAGGCATGTCCGAGGCCATCACAGAGAGCAAAGCTCACTCAATCAGCACGAAAGGTAAGAAAAGGCTGACCTTGACCCAGAAGCCTTGCCAAAGTCTGTTTGCTTTTCAGCTCTGTGCCAGGTCACTGAGGTTCATTTCAGGCTTGGTGGGGCAGTAAACTGCAGCCAGGGCTGCTGGGTAATGTGGCCACAGTGTTCCTGCACCCATCCCCAAAAGCAGCAAAGGGCAAAGTCCAGCTCGGGCCGGTTGGGTTGCAGGGAGCATGACTGCAGGGTGAAGGTGCAAACTGGAATGTCCTTGGAAAGGATATTGCTGTCCACCTGGACACTGCAACACAATTTCCCAGCCTTGGCAGGAGCTGAAGCCACTTGATCTTTTTCCAGAAGACCCTCAATGTAATTGCATTCCCTTTTATTTATTTATAAATTTAAACTGCTGACAGCATTTAATTTATTACTGAAAGCCTTCTCTCATCCTAACTCTCCTGAGAGGCTGCATCAAGTATCTCTCCCTTCCCTCTTTAAAACAGAGTATTATATGCTGCAATATTTGCCTAAGGAAATAAAAGTATAGTGGGTGTCTATTTGGGGTAAAATAAACAAGTTTCTGCTCACTGTTAAACAGGTCCCCTCTGTAATAAACTTTGTGATGGGCTGTATAACAAACTAAAGTATATCTTGATCATATATTATCTAGATGTTTCATATACTAACTATATGGTATCCTATGTAACTACCTGGTTTTTGTAGGGAGGAGAAAAGAGAGACTTTGAAAGTAATGAAACAATTGAGATGTTTTAAATGGATTTAATATCAAATCATGAATTCTTAACACAAGGTCAGATTCTCCCATCCTGCTGAGTTCTGAGTTGCTGGAAAAGGAAGCACAGAACACCCTAAGATGAGTGGATGGATCCAGTCTTTCAATTGCAAAGGCAATTTAACAGATGTAGACTGCCCTAATACAAAACTGGGAAAGAATATCCATGGCCTATAAACATGTTCATAATGGCAGAACTCAGTCATGCTTAAATTCATTGGCTTCCTTATGGAATTAGAGTTATCAAAGAGCTGTGGCTCCATAGCTTTCTGAATTTGTATCTGCAACATCCATCCTGTGCAGTTTTGGTAGGTCAAGCCCACCGGCCAAAGGGTGAGCCCACAACTAGGGCAGCAGCTTTTGCCCATGGGACTACAGAAGGGCGTAGCTGTGCTGGACATTGCTTGGCTTTTTCTTGGTAAGGAAGAGAGACCAAATCTCAATTTCCAGACTTCCCCTGTCTGACAGCTTTCTGAGGGCTGGCGAGTGTCAAGAATTATCTGCTTAGCTTGACCC